CTGGCACAGGGGGCTGGTGATGCATCAGCCTGTTCCTGGAACCTGACTGCAGTGGTAAACCCACCACATCTGCCCCAGAATGAAGAAGGGGCCAGTTTTGGGCCCCCCACTACAGAAAGGATGTGGACAAATTGGAGAGAGTCCAGTGGAGGACAATGAAAATAGCTGAGGGGCTGGGGGACAGGACTGGTGAGGAGAGGCTGAGGGAACTGGGCTGATTTAGTTTGGAGAAGAGAAGACGGAGGGAGGACTTGATAGCAGCCTTCACCTCCCTGCAGGGGGGCTGCAAAGAGGATGGAGCTGGGCTGTTCTCAGTGGGGGCAGATGGCAGGACAAGGAGCAATGGGCTTCAGTTGCAGCAAGGGAAGTTGAGGTTGGATATTAAGGGAAACTCTCACTAGGAGGGTGGTGAAGCACTGGAACGGGGTACCCAGAAAGGTGATGGACTCTCCATCCTTGGAGGTTTAGAAGACCTGGGTAGACAAAGCCTTGGCTGGGGTAATCGTTGGTATCTTGGTATCCACCCCACACCATGCAGCCCAGAGCTTGGCCTCTCCCCACCCCGCCAGGCACCACGTACCATGCGCAGGCCTTTCACCACCACCTCGTTGGCCAGCTCCTGCTCCTTCAGCTCCACCTTCAGGGAGCGCATGTCCCGGCGCAGCTCCAGCTCCTGGGCCCGGTGGTCCTTCTGCGCCAGCTTCATGGACACGGTGCCCTCGGTCCGCAGCTCCGTCAGGTTGTTCTGGTGCTCGTACAGCAGGTGCTTCACCTTCTGCTTGTACACCTGGGGGCGGGGGGTGGGTCAGTCCCCGGACAGGCTGGGAGCAGGGGGCACCTGGGGACATGCCCAAGTCAAGCAGGTGCTGCAGCCCTAACACCCACCCCAGGTCCCACTCACCTTGATCTCCACCTGGTGCCGCTCCTCGGCCTCCTCCATCTCGCGGTCCTTGTTGCGCAGCTCGGCCTTCTTCTCATCCAGCTGCCGCCGCGTGATGTCCCAGAAGGTGTGGATCTTGTCGCGCTCCAGCTGGAAGTAGTTGCGCTCCTCGCGCTCGCGGTCCAGCTCCTCCCGCAGCCGCACAATGTGCTCCTCCAGCTGCGGGGCCCAGGCAGGGAGAGGCATCAGGGGGGGCAGCGGTATCCAGGCTCGTCAGCACCCTTTGCTGCCGGCTGGCCCGGGGCACACAGGGAGGGAGCTCACCTGCTCCTTGCTCATGTCCTCGGGCGCCATGCCGTCCACCACGGCCGCCGCCTTCCCCCCCTTGCCCTTCTTGCCGCCTTTCTTTTTGGGCGCCTGGGAACAACGCGCAGGGCTGAGCCGCGTGCATGGGGGAGGCAGCAGCGCTCAAGTCTCTGGGAGTCGGTAGATGGGGGGTGGGTCCTGACTGCAGATGTCGGTGGGTGTCTCCTTGCCGGGGGTCCTTTGCTGGGCAGAGCTGAGGGGCCCCGACTGCCTCTGCCAGCCCTGCGCTGTCCCAGGGGCCGGGGGGTGTTAGGGCTAGGGTTGGGGGGGCTGTTGCTGCAGCTGCAGCCCCGTCGTATTGGAGCTGTGCCCAGCACAGAGCCCTGGGGACAGGGACGAGCCTGACCCAGCACCCAGGGGCCTCCCAGCTTGCACCCGAGACCCCCCCCCCCCTCGCTCACTGGGCGCCCCCCGCCCCC